TTTAAGTTAGATGGCTATGAACAGGTTTTCTCTTTTATCTTTTCTGCTTTGGTTGAGATGTGAATGGATCATAAGCAGTTGCCCAGGGGATACCAGTGCAAGCCACTTTTCTAAGCCTGGCAGTGTGAACTTTGTTTCTTCTTACTACAACCCAGTTTTCAACCCAGAACTTATGAATTCATCTAGAACACTACACAAAACAAAACAAATGCATTCCCATTAGCTATACACTCCTGCTCACAGTGGAACTAACAAACTGACCATTCTTTTGGGGTCTTCATTACCTGCCAAAAGATCAGTTTCCTTTGTTGAAGGGTCGGTACTTTGTTCTTGAATCATCATTGGCATGCGCTGGCTACAGCTGGAGTTAATGAGTTTACCAGTCTCAGCAGGTTTTAAACACTTTGGGCCTCATCTTGGTTGTTCCAGCTCATAAGGAATCCTTTCCCATAATTGCTGACTTATTTAGCATCTGTTCAATGACATTCATTTTCTGGCTACTTGTTCCCACTTCTATGTTACACAACCTTAAAACATTAAAAAAAGAAAGAAAGAAAAGGAAGGAAGGAAGGACACATTAAAGCAGGTGAGTTTTGTCTTGAATCTTTTGTCCTTTCTTTGGTATGTTAGATATAGAGGTGGCTGCTGAGTTTAGCAGTTTTCCTGACATGTGTGGATCATATGGTATTAGAGAAATCACTTATATTTAAAGAAGATAGTCTCATTCAGGAAACCGTTTTCATTATCTGGATTTTCTGTTGATCTTAATGTGATAAGGTGTGTATCGTTCATCCCTTTTATCAGTTGCCCATTAGCATCCTGCTTGTTGGGGGCTGGGGAGAAAGTTCTATTTTCCTTTTAATAAATGCATATGAGTCATTCACTCAAAGTTCAAAATTGATGCTTATCTGGAGGAGTCTCCAAGTTCACATATATTTTGAATGTTCACACATGTACAAAATTATCTAGCAAACTTGAGAGGAATTGTGTGTGTGTGTGTGTGTGTGTGTGTGTGTGTTTTAATTGCCAATTGTTGCATCTAGAAGCCCAACAAGAAGCACTACACAAAATATCTCCCTTGGGGTATGTCCTAGTTCTTCTAAACCTATTGTTGGAGCATTAAATACTTGAAGAAATCTGTAATACAGACACCAGGTAGTGATAGTGCTATGAGTCATTCTGCTTCTGCAGCGGCAAACTGGATGTGCTTGGAATGAGGTTCAGCTGAGGTTCCCTAACTGAAGAAGAATTAGCTAACCAGGTGGTAAGCCCATCAAAGCAGGGGCACATCAGACCAGGAGAAAAAGCTCATAAGTATAGTATTATGAAATATTAATAATGTGATGAAGCCTAACACATTAAAAAGATTTTTAAGTAGAAACAATCTAAATATCTACCGTTAGCTAAGTGTTGAAATAAATTAGCCACTAGTTAGAATATTACACACATAATAAAAATAAAATCACAAAGATTTCTAGTGCTGTGAAGAAATTATGAAAGTACTTTGAAAAATAAAAAAAAAAACAAGGTGTATGTGTCCATTTCAACCTCAAACTTTGTGGGTCTACCTGAAGAATCATTAAGTAGTGATGAACAGTATGTGCCTTGCACCACAGTGCCGCCGGTTTGAATGGTTGCTCCGCTTCTAACTACCTGTATGTGTTGAGTTGCTGTGTGTCAGTCTCGCTGTTTTGACTATGTGTCAAAACTCAGAGCCTCAGTTTTGTCATCTATGGAAAGGGAATAAAAATACAGCACATGATTTCTTAAGATTACACAACAATGATGTGTATACACCTTGCAGTGCCTGACCTTGGTACGGGCTTAACTGCGTTTGATGATTGTCATGAGTTCACTAAAGGCAGCAAAACTTCCTAACAGGAAATGGTCATATATATCTATAGCACTCCCCAGAAAAGCATATTTTATTGCTTTGAAAAGTCATAGGCAAATTAACTGTAAAATAATTATGTTTTACAAATGGTAGCCTTTTAGTTTCTGCTGTTATCTAAGGACAATTGTCTATTTTAGAAGTAGTGACACAGCTCCTTTAGACTTACGAGAATGGTGGTGGCTGAGGGAGAGAAACTCTCTTTAGCTCCAGGTCAGTTATGCTCTTGGCCTCACAGTTATCCTTGTGTCCAAGCTCTTAGGCTTGGCTTTCCTGTTGTTGGAGGTGAGAGGGGTCTGTTTTCACAGACCAGTAGAGTGTGGGTTCAGGGGAGTTTGCAGAGGGTTAAGTTTTAGGGGGTCCTTCTGTGGACTTGGCATTGGGGAGCTTAGCCTTCCCTTCTCTGCTTTCACTGTGCATCACCATATGTTTGATAGCTTGACAACTTCACTTCTAAATCATCTCTATAAGCATAAATATAAACAGGTTATAAAATGGGAATCTGAATTCCCCATATATAAAACTCCTCTTGGGATACTAGCAAAGTAACCTCTGACTGTTTCCTGAGCTAATTAGCTACCCTCCCACAGATAGTAATACACTGATACAAAATACATTGGTTTCCCTATTAGTTTCCTCACTTTATTCTGACGAAATTCAGGAAATGTGGAAATTAAATCATTCCTGAAGCTATGCTTTATCATATGTCAGAGTAAAATTATCCAAATGCCTCCTGTCCACATGTAGTTTCAATTTCCTGAAGTTAATTTCTTCATTCTAATTACAAACACTCCAAGAACTAGTTTTTTTTTTTTTCTTTTCTTTTTTTGCAACTCAGCAGGAGAGCAAGTAACTTATTTCATCAGGCTGAGTTGAATGCAGAAGGTTTCCAGAATCTGACTGAATACAAAGTATAAGATAAATGTCCACTAGTTTCTGCTATTGTTACTGAACTTTTAGTGCTTAAGGTCACTAGGAAAATGGTCTCCCAACGGTATGAACTTTGTGCCTAATATTTTTAAAGGAATCTTGCTCTATGATAGGTAACATAGGAAACGTGTTAGTTTTCTTTTTTCCCTAAAGGTAAGATAGAAAGGGTGAACATTTTAGACACATTTATTAAATCCAGGTGTACTTTGAAGTATCTTGGCTTTTTCTGATGAAAAATAAAAATATGTGTGTTCATCTGACAGGATTCTGCTATTCTCTTATTGCTTTTGCCCTCACCCAAATAATCATACTGGGAAAAGAGAAAGATGGTCAAACCTCAGGCAGAGGAGCTGGGACTTCTTATTTTGAAACTAGCATTGTGCATGAACCCTTGTTCCCTGATTGTTCTGAAAACAGTGCACTGAGTCTATTGAATTATCATGTAGATTCAGTATTATTCAGCAAAGGGTCAAATCATGCCTTTAAGAAGCAAACTGTCCCTGCCTCCTGCTATCTATCTCCCTTTCTTCAGTTTTTATCTTGTCAAATTCTAAATTTGGTTCCTAAGGAATATTATATCAAAACAAAGAAAAAGAATTTTGTTTTCATTACTCATATATTTAAAAGATGTGGTTAGGTTTTAATTTCCTTGGTATAATTCCTTTTAAAGCATTTTGACAAAATAATCTAGCTCCAGTCTTGGCATGATTGAAAAACTTTGAAAATAGCAAAATCTCACCTTTCATTTTAAAGTTGAGGGCACAACAAAAATGTATCAGAACTCAGTGGTGTGTTTTTCTCTCTGCATCCCCTTAATTTTCAAACCATCATATAGGAGCTGAGGCATCTAATTCAGCAAAATGTTATACTACCTGACACTTAATGGTTTATGCTACACCAGGAACAAAGTTAGCTGCTTGTCATTACTTTGATTCAATTATTTAAGTTCAAAGTAAAGGAGATATTACCATCCACATTCTCCATGGAGAAACTGAGACTCTGAGAAATTCATTTCACATAGGTAGGTAGAAAATGAAGCCAGAATCTGATCTCTGAGCTCTGTCTCATTAGGAGGTCACCTCCAAGAACATGTTTGGTGCGTGCCATGGGGAAATGTAATATAATGTGACTCATGTGCCATTTTATCAGTGAAAACTAGCAGTAATTAAGATACCAGCGTGTCTCTCTGACTGGGAGATGCCAGTGTTCAATCAGCCACAGAATCGACCTCATATCCTTGACACATCCCCCATATTCTGAACCATCCTTTACAATATCTAAAATGAAGATGGTGGAAAAGAAACTAACATCTAATAGTACAAACTGCATAATTGCTGTATTTCTTAATTTAAGAAAAGATTATACTTTGAGACTAAATTGAATAATTAGAATTTCATGCATACACTGAATCTAATGCCTGCTGATTTATACATATTCTTTGAAAAATAACAAAAGTCAATGACCGTGTATTTGGATTTGTTTTCTATATCTTTATGATTAACACTGAACTTCTTCAATGTTCTCCTGTTCAATATTTTCTTTGTGCACTTAATGATAGCAGCCATAGAAATAGGTATCCAGTAATCTAATATTTATAAATCCTTATTGCAAAATAAGAATATTTCCCCTTGGGCCCTGTGCTGTTTTCTCTTCCTCTAAGATCATGGAAAATAGGGAGTCGGTTTCAGATGAGACTTTTCCATCTCCCCCACATACATGCAGAATGCTAAACATTGCCAAGTTCTTTGATAAATTACAAATCAATTACCTAACTACCCAACTGAACAAGGATTGTTCTAGAGGCCTTCAATTTTTACTCTAGCTTACTGTAATTTTCTGATAATGATGAAAGCTTTTACAATGGGCAGAATTGGCATCCATCTTCTTGAAGCATCCAGAAATCCTCACCCTTTTAAAAGCAAAGTTACACTGACTGACTAATATCACATTATTTCTCCAATTTAAGGTTACATTTTCTCCCTCTTGCAAACTGATGTCACATCTCCACATGGAGAAAAGAGTGACATTTGGCATTTGTTCATCCCAAAACCAAATTGCTGACCTTTTGTTTTTAATACTTTGCCATCTTGCTTTCGCTTTTTTAATTTGCTTGTGACTCTCTGCTCCCCCATCTTTTTTTTTTTTTTGGTACAATGATTCTTACCTTGTCTTTCCCCAGTCCGTTTCTGACCTGGCGAGACGTGCAGCATGTTATTGTCAGGACTTCCCGTGCAGGACATTTGAACGCTAATGACTGGAAAACCAATGCTGCTGGTTTTAAGGGTGAGAACTTCTTTCATATTCTGTCACAGGCAAAATATTTTTATTTTTCCCCCTTTTTCAATGAGAACAGGAATAGAACCCCTCAAAAGAAACTTGCAATTTTGTGCTGACCCAGGAAGAACTTCATCTTTGAATAAATAGAAAGCAGATTTTTAAAAATTAAGATAACACACATAAGACTAATTTCCTTGACTTTCCATCATAGGTCAGTGTCTTAAAAGATCGACCAAGTTCCAAGTATAGAAGACATATAGGATTCCAAAGTAGTTTATTGTTTGCTATCATTATATCTGAGTGCTATTTATAACTATGTATTTCAAAAGTCCTGACCTTCTATAGGGATTACTTATAATTAAATAATAACTGGTATATCTTACTTGAGTGTAGTGCTGTCAGAGGCTAGGCTATTCTATAGTTTTTGTTTTTATTTTAAAACTTCCAAATAGAAAAGCAGGAATAACTCAAAGAGGTTATTTTATATATACTAATTTTTTTTTAAGATCTTTATTTATTTATGGATACAGAACTGGGGTACAGGCCAGAGGTGTGTAGGTCAGCTCCCTGGTGGGGGATCGAACTTGTACTGACACAGCTGCGGCTGCCTTTTTAGTGCTGCACTTTAACATGTTGCACCAACAGGGAGAACCCCTAAACTATAAATTCTTATGAAGTTATATAATGCACAGTTTTATGTACTTGTACATAGCATATAGTAAGTGCTGACTATTTCCCCCATGGCTGATCAGATTATAGTTCCCTTGCACTATTGTATTGGCAGTAGTCATTCTGTTTGTTGTCTAGGTAGGTAACATGTTATAATAAAGAGAATTATCTAATTTTATATAAGATGTCCTATAGTTTCATATAGTTATTGAAGTTTCAGAGGCCCTACCTTTTAATCTATTAATATAATTTTCAACAAAAATTACCTTGGTCTTACCTACAAACTTAATGTACGTCATCCCCCTACCCAATCCTGTCATCCTTTTATGCCCCAGTGGATGAGAAACAGTATTCCATAGCACAGGAACTGAAGTCCCAGACCCTAGAGCATTGTTAACATACTGAAAATTCCTGGACAAGTCATTGAATTTTTCTGGATCCTAACGTCCCCAATTAAACATCTTAGAAGTTACATAATATTGTCTCCATATAATACCTTGCATATTATTTTAACATATCCTTACTGGACTATACCCAGTGTATGCAGATTTTCATGCTCTAAGTGTGTATTTTAAAAACTATGTGCAAGTGGCTTATTCCAATATAATTTTTAGCCAACATTTATAAATGTCTCAGTTAAGATTGATTTTCACTACAGATGCCTCCATTTTTAGGAAAAGAACATCCTTCTGATTTTAAATATCAACACCTTTCTAAGCTTGCAAACTATAGAATGCCATAGTGCTCAATGAACTTTTAATCTAAAGATAAGCCAATACCTGCCTGGAGCTTATTTTCTGACACTTAACCTCAAAGATATTTGAAATTCCAGTTGTTCTAAAAATGTAGGCTATCGTTTTCTAAATGTGTGTTTCATTTTGATTAGCTTCTCCATGCGTCCTACACAGATCACAGCTGGGGGAGGTTCAGGAGGGGTAAAGGAGGGACCAACACAGACTGGCTGGTTCAACTCTGCAATCAGCTCTCAGGAGAAAGGTTCAGACGACATTGTGCATTGGCCTCCATGTAGCTGAGGAATCAACTTTAACCCAAATAAAAGTCTTAGTTTTACTGACTTCTTTTTGGCAACTTAAAAAGAGCAAATGGTTCTAATAAAAAAAGTGTACTCTTCTGAAAACCCCTGTTGGTTTTGGAGAAGGGGGTATAAAGGATTTAGAGAACATCAATAGATCCAAACCTGAGCCTGAAGAGGGCTGTACTCTGCTTCTGGCAAGAAAGAAATAGCATTTTACTCTTGCACGTGGCAATATTTAGTATAATATTTCACTCTTCTCTTAGATTGCTGCCAAGAGTAACAATTAAAGTTCACTTTTTCATAGATGAATTACTCTGAATGGTCTGGACTCCCCATGGAATGGTTTTGTAATTTTGTTGATGGCAAGCCCATATTTCATCTAAACATGATCATAATAATGATAATTTTAAAAAAAAAGGCTTATTTCTTCCCTCCCCTAAGCATTACCATACCTCCCCTAGTGCCCCACAAATAACAGTGATTAAGGCAGAGACTAGCAGGACAAACGATGTGTTTTGAGGAAGATGAGAATGCAGGTCACTAGTGCTGGAGAAAGATGGGCTTACTTTTTATGAAATAAGAACTGAACAAGCAAAAAACAGCAAATGCTTGGAAGAAATACATGCAATGAGAGCTCAGCAAGAGTTCATATTTTAAATTAGGTCAGTTGGCTTTTGCAGGCTCTGCTTAGCAGGAGCACATGGCCAAACATTTCTCCTTCGACAGGAGAAAACAGAAGTTGCCTGCAAAACAGAAGCCTGTAACCACGGGTGCTCTCGCTCTTTCTATGCAAGGCAGCCCTAATGCTGAGTCAGATAATGCAAGAGATGAATCTGAAAACACTTTTGCTTCCCAAGGCTTGCTTTGCGCCTTAATGATGAGTAATTTCACTCATTTGAAGAGCTGTTTAAAAAAAAAAAAACATGAGAATAATTTTGCAAGTTTCTCTGTAGAGCCTCTTTTATAATGGGGCTATCAGTGTCTGTTTGGCATCAGCATTCCCCATCAGGTGAAGCAAAAGCAGCTCTGAGTGGCAACTGACTTGGTTTAAGGGTTTTACATTCAGTAGACACGGTAGCGTAGTTATCACAGGTAACTTCGGAAAAGTCACCACCCCAAAGAATAGTCTCTCATCAAGGCTTGCCAGGTCCATTCCATACTACATGCTTCCATTACTTCAGGAACACCTACATGAAAGTAGGAAAAGAATTTGATTTACTCTTAGCCACGTGTGGTGTGGTAAGGACTCAGAAATTGAAAGCTGCTTTCTCCAGCAGCAGGAGCTGTCCTATTGGCCGGCATGGACAGGTTTGCTGGGGCAAGGCCATCCTTGACAAGAACAGGCTCCCTCCTGACTGTTGCTCTTCCCATTTCTCTGACTGCAGGATTCCCCTGGAGTGCATACAGGAAATGACTTGCAAAGGACTTTTCCTCCTCGGTGCCCTTAGGGCCCTCTATAGTAGCAGTCTAGAAATGAAGTTAGGTCCCACTGAAGGGAGTCCCCCTCATCAGCTCCTCTGTACTAGTAGAATCTTCATTTTGAACAATTTAAAATGAACTAAGATTATCTGCTCTTCTTAAATAATGATCCTGTGTAGTATACGTCAAATATCTAATACAAAGTATTTGTTTTTCAAAGTAAATGTAGTCCAATGAATATATACCTGACTAAACATTATTTTGATTGTCCTTGTAAATTAACCTAGCTAAGTTTTGGAAAATTCCTTTTGACTTCAAGCATCCTTCAGAAATGATTTCTTTAAAAATAAACTCAGTAGCTATCACACACCTCTCCTAGAACCTACTCAAGATTATAAATAACAATAAGAAAGCATTTGTAGGTGACCAGATGAACATAAATAATATATACCACTAGAGAAGGAAACTCCACGTTCTAGTATTTTGCTACTGGCCACTATTTGCAAGGCTGGGAGATGACTTAAGCATTAAATTCTTTGGGTTTTTTTTTTCCTTTCAGTATTATTTCTTTCTCCCTTCCCTTTCCTCTTATGAAAAATCTTTTCTTTTTCTTCTTTTTAACACCATTCCCATCCTTAAAATGTACAAATCAGCTGTAGAAGTAAGTGTGGGTGATTCTCCTTAAGACATTTCATTTAATTGGGCTCTTCATTTGTATATGCACAAATAGTTCCTTATCCTCTCCAGTATGCCAGCTGAACATGGGTTAAAGTGTCCCCAAAAAGTGAAAAGTGGAAGGAAATGTCAGGGGTCCAGTGGCATTGCCTGATCTGATTTGACCACAGTATCATTTTCATCAGGAAACAGAAATGTATGCTGCTTCATTTTTTCCCTTTGGTCAAGACCAAACAGACCAGGCCATGTTTATAAAATTTTCACTACCTCTCACATCTGAATGCAGCCTAACCTCAGTAACTGAGGCATCTGAGGTAGACAATGTCTATTGGTGTGATGGAGATTTGGACCGGCTTTGTATGCGCATATCAGATGTGTGGATCCCAGAGCCACACTGGGGACTTTTATTCTGCATTGTTCTAGAATCCCTCACTTCAGAAAGAATCTAATTCTTTGTTGTGACCTTCCTTTTATTGCTTTCACCTGAGGAAACTAAGAATCTATCACCTTTTTCGGCCCCAAGTGCCTGGGCTGTGCCTTCTGTTTCTTTTCCCCGAGTTCATATCCCTGATTTTAAGTTATATTTACAATGGAATGCATGCAACATCGGTGTTTTTGTTTTTGTTTTTTGCTCAAAGTGTCTGTATTTGGATTATGTGACTGTTTATAGTTAAACTCTTAAATCTAGGAACAGGAATAGACGTCAGATAATAAATTAGGACCTTCTGTCATCTTTACTAGGCGAAAGAATGAAAAAAATGTCATTGAAAATCAAAAATGACAACTAAGTGAGAGAGGTTTCCACGCCTTCCATTTCACTGCCCTCCCAGCCTATGTAAGTCTCTTTTTTTCTACCAGCATGTTGCTGACCTCTTCCCCACCCAACTGACTACCTTTGGCCACAACTAAACTACTAGACTTTGTAAAACTTGTAACTGATTTCCCACCCTGGGAAAAACAGTTGACAGGCTAACATGACTTTCTCAGCCTCAAAGGCCTTAACTTTTAATAACCCTTATTACTTTTAATTGCCATCATTTTATTTCCACTGACAGGACTGATAATCTTAAGATACACCAGTACATTTTTAACACCAAAATGTATTGCTTTAAGTTTGTAACACTTATTAAAAAGAATTTGTAGTGCCAAACCATGAAGCATGTCATGTGTTGAATTGGAACTAAAGGTTTTGAAATGGTGTCTTTAG